CGTTGCAGGTCCCCTCTCTGAGGGCTCCACAGGGAGACCGAGGTGCCACCTGCAGCTTGTGTGTGTGTGTGTGCACGTGTGTGTGGTGAGAGACGAGGTGCAGGGCACAGTTCCTCATGTGTGTACGTGTGTGCGTGCGCAGGTGTGGAGGTACTGGATGTTACCCACGTGTGGAGACTCGTGCAGGGTGCAGTTCTTACCCGATTCTCTTCCCCCCACGGGCTGCTCAGTGCAGACGTGGGAAGAGGCTGGAATGTGCGGCTTCAGGGGCCGCCCGCTGGGACGTGCCGATGCAGACCCCCCTCTCTGGGGCTTTAGGGTTGGCTCCAGGTCCTGCCCATCTCTGCCCGCTGGAGGAGGTGCCAGTCCTGCTGAGGCGGCCCATGTACCCATCAGGCACAGCCGCTGGGGCTCACTGGACAGGGCCTACTTGATGTTTACTGTCAGGGACCCTGGCCCCAGAGACCCCATGCTTGGCCCCTCTGAGGTCCACTGCTGTCCTGTGCTCTGGGCCCCATCCTGGGCACCCAGGCCCTGGCTCCACTCTGTCCTGCCATTGTAAGTTCCACGACATTGCCCCTGAGGCCTCCAGCGAGCCTGGACAGCCCTGGCCTTCCCAGGAGGAAGGTGAACCAAGCCTGAAGGTTCACCTGGGAGAGTCTTGGGTGCTCCCTTCCCCGTCTCCTCACACAGCGAGACCTTCTCACCCTTGGGCCCTGCTCAGACGCCCCTTCTTCTGGGAAACTGGCCTGGACGCTGGGCACTGCTGAGGCCTCACCCTGGGATCCCACCTGCCCATCCCTGCCCTGGGTCTGGCCTCACCCTGGACTGTGAGTCCCTGGAGGGCAGGGTTGCCCTGGGCAGGGGCTTGGTGGGCGTGTGTCAGTGAGGAGGGGAACTGAGCCAAGGCTTGCCCCGCACTTGCCCTGGTGTGGCCAGGAGCTCTGGCTGGACCTCGGTGGGGCTCAGCAGAGGGCAGCTTGCATCACCACCTGGCGCAGTAGCTCCCAATCCAGTGATCCGGGTGGGGCTGGGGCACCAGCCTGGGTTCAGGTGTGCCGGGTGTGTATACCTGGGCTTCGGGGAGACAGGAATTGGAGTGTGGTGGAGCAGCACCTTTCCGGAACGGTAACCACGTAGGCTCAGGGAATTAGGAGAAGAGGCCTCGAAACAGAGGCTCCCAGCTTGACCCCAGACTCGGGAGCACTCGGCCATCCCCTGCCGCCAGGGCCTGCGTCTCCAGGGGGCTTCCCGCGTGGATTGGGTTGGATATGGGAATCGGAAAACCGTTTCAGGGGAGTAAGACATTTGCTGGGTGAAGCTTTTCACCAGGACCTGGGAATCTTCCTAAATCTACTCAGGTGATAAAGTCAGTACGTTGGGAACCGGGGATGACGTGGCTTTTGGTGATTGCTGAACTCTTCAAAGAATGTAGAACAGACACCCAGGGAGGCAAGGCATGCTCCGTTCCTTCCCCCTTGCCATCCTTCGTATCCTTCCTAGCACCCTCTTGTACCAACTTTGGGCCAAGGGAACCTTTAGTCTTAGAAGCACCTTCAGCATCCCCAGCGGGGATGGTGTATACAGACCGGGTGCAGACGGCTGGGTGTAGACAGACCGACCTGCACACCAAGCCCTGTTTGGGACGAGGCTTCCTAGACAGGTTTTGATTCAATGGTGGTTTCTGAGTCTGCACAGACAGGAAACCAGAGATGGGCACGGGTACCTGGGCCGGATGCCAGGAGCCATCACTGGGTCCTGATGGGCCTGAGCGGCTGTGACCAGGTAGCAGCCCAGAGCGAGCCTCCTGGGGGGTGTGGGTTTCACACCTGGCCTTCTCACTCACCACCCTGCTGTGCTGAGAAAGTGGCCATTGATGGGAACTGGGGCAGAGCAGGGGCAGTGTGGGTGCCCCCACTGTCCCCGGGGCCCTGCTTGAAGGAGCCACGGATGTCTGCTGCCCATGGGTGTCCTGCTTTTTGCAGGCAGATCAGGAGGTCAGGAATTTGAGACCAGCCTGGGCAACATGGTGAAACCCCGTCTCTACCGAAAATACCAGAATCAGCCAGACACGGTTCGTGGTGGTACACACCTGTAGTCCCAGCTACTCGAAAGGCTGAGAGAGGAGAATCACTTGAACCCGGGAGGCGGAGGTTGCAGTGAACCGAGATCACACCACTGCACTCCAGCCTGGGCGACAGAGCGAGACTTTGTCTCCAAAACAAAAAAAATCCGGCCAGAGGCAAAGGGCACAGCAGTGAATTCGAAGTACCTGCCATGCCCCTCCAGGCACCACACCCTGGGCTGCAGCATCATGAGCATCACTGTGTGTTGGTGCCAGAGGGACACGCGAAACCACGGGTGACACAGAAGCTGGGGCTGGGCCAGGCTGTGTCCGCTCTGGGCGTGGAGCTGCGAGCCAGGGAATGCAGAGAGGGTGAGAAACAAGCATCTTGACTTTAAAATATCACCCTCGTTTCCATAAAACTTTAAACTTCATTGGAAAAATAAATTCTTCATTGAAGAGTGAAGCTTTAAGATGGGTTTTCAGACACCCTCTTCCATTCCTGCTCTACCACCACCGCCCCATTGGCCAAGTGATTGCATAGAGTTCAGTGCAAAGCTCAGCAAAGTGCCAAGGGACTGGCGGGCACCGGAACTGCACCAGCTGCTGTGCAACACACACGCACACATCCGCACAATCTGCAACACACGCACACGCTGGCCGCTCTGCAACACACACGCACACACCCGCACCGTCTGTGCCTCCGTGAGGCTCATGAGCTTGTGAACCGGAAGGCCCTCGGGTTTGAAGTTAGCACACATTTGTACATTTGGCAGAAACAAGAATCCTGAGTTCTACAAAGACAAGAAATTGGGCTGAGCTGAGCTAGTGGGCGTGTGCTTGCAGGTCCCCTACCCTGTCTGCTCCCTCTCCTGGCCCCGAGGCCTGGACACAGCTGGCAGGAGTTCCTCTGTCCACACACACCGCGCCTGGCCAGGCTCACACTCCTTCAGAGTCCCGCACACACACTGCAGCTCCCTCATCACGAGCAGCCATCTGCTGGCGGCACCCCCAAAGGCGGTCCCCAGAATCGGGGTGCTGCACACACCAGGCCAGGAGACAGCGCACACCCTGCCCTCGAGGGACACAGGACTCGTGAGCAGTCGAAGGCTGCTATGAATAGACCTGGTTCGTGGCTCACTTGGCTTACTCAGTGCCTCAACCTACCCGACTCTCGGTCTGCAGGCAGCTTCCCTGGGGCAGCTCTGGCCTGGCCCAGGCCCTGAGTGGCCCCAGTGGGAGCTGTTCTGAGGAGGGGGTGCAGGTGGGACCTGCTGAGTGGAGCATGGGGCCTGCCCCAGTCATCGTGGAATCAGAGGCAGGGCCAGGGCTTGGCAGCGAAGTGCACCGGCCGTCTCCTTCCTCACATCGGGCAGTTCAGACGGTGGCCCTGGATGGAACTCTGGGCTGCTGACCACATCTGGACTTGAGGGTGGGGGAGGAATGGGCCTGGATTTGGGGATCAGAGAAGTAGGAGGACGCCTCTCCCGGGGACGGCCCAGGGTTGGCATTTCAGCTCCTGCGGAACAGGCCATTCAAGACACCTGTCCCAGATCATGTTCCTCGTCCTTCCTGCCCATCTCTCATGTGTCAGTTAAGCATTTGCCCCACATCCCGAAGCACAGCCGTCCCGGTGCCCGGTGGGTGATTCTGTCCCCGGCCTGAGACAGGCCCACTCATTCTCATGGACTGTGTGTTTGCTGTGGCTCAGGTGTGATCTGAGTTTTTGGAAATTAGATCACATCAGCATTTCTGCACGAACTCAGACTGTATTTAGATCATTCCTGTCAACAAGTAAGTGGCCCTGTCGGGTCGGTGGGAACGAGCCAGTGCGCGCGGGGAAGGGAGCTGCCCCGGGGGGTGACGGGGCCGGCAGGGGCCTCTGCTGGTGGGATGCAGAACTCAGGACCCCAGTCCTGACCGTCCCCGACCCACAGTTTCCAGAAGCTGAGCTTGCTGCAGGTACCTCCAGTCGCAGGCCCAGCTGACAAGACAGACCCTTCTCCCACTGCAGGCCAGAGGAGTCCCTGTTTTATTTTCAGTTTCCTTAGGACATTATCTGTGTGATTAGCTGTTCAGCGGCATCTCTGATGTAACTGTTGTGCCATTAAAAACTGATTTCACAATTTTTAACTTCTTTGGCTTTCACTGCCTGGCAGTTCTTTTCCACACACGTGAACCTTGTGGCATTTCCTCAGGGACTGTTACCTCCAAAAACAGCATCACAAATTTTTAAACGAGTCATTGTCTCTTCGTAAAAGCATGTTGCACCAAAATGCCAAGGAGAAATCAGTGGCCGATGATACTGTTTTTAGGGTGCCAAATGGGCACAATTCAGCAGCCTTGAGGAAGGCACCCTGAGGGTTTCACCATCAGTACTGTTTAAATGACAACAAAGTCATCAACACAATTAAAATGTATTTGCTGTGGATGAGCTTGTTTTCTGAGAGCAAAGTGGTGCGTGGGCCAGCTCTGTCCTCCCCGTGGGTGGTTGTCCCCTCCTCCCTGTACAAACCCAGGAGAGCCGGGAGGAGCAGCTCCCGCAGGACTCACAGCCCCACCCCAGAGACCCTATGCTGTTCAGGTGCAGGGGATGAAACTTACCCCAGATCTAAGCTTGGTTGTGCCTCAGTGTGATAGGAATGGCAGCCCATATTTACAGAGGTGGTATATAGAGCCCCCGCCCCAGGACAAGGCCACGGGTCTGCCTAATACACCTGCCCCTCTGCCGTGGGACAGCACAGGAAGAACCACCAGGAGCTCGCCCTGCACCATGGATTCGCTTGCACCTTTTGTCTTTCTCAGTTAACTCACATCATGCCAGACACAGGGCATGGGACTTCGGTGTGGATCCTTCAGTGCCAGCCTTGGACCGTCGTGTGCACCTGTCTTGAGTTCTGTCCCTAAAGTTTGTGAATTCTCTCTTCCATTTCAGGATCTGGAATCTCTTGATGCCTATATCCAGAGGACGCTCTCTGCCTTGTACCCACCTTTTGAAGCCACGGCAGCCACGGTGCTCTGGCAGCTGTTCAGTGTGGCCGAGAGGTGCCATGGTGGGGACGGGCTGCACTGCCTCACCAGCTTCCTCCTCCCAGCCAGGAGGGCCCTGCAGCGCCTGCAGCAGGAAGCCTGTGTGAGTACCTCCCCTGTAGCTCTGAGACTGCGGCCAACCTGGAGGAACCTGCTCTTTCCCTGGGATTGGGCCCATCAGGGCACTGGCTCAGTCCTTTCCTCTGGCTTCTGGCTCCTCCCACCCTTATCCCAAATGAAGGGTCAAACAAGGCTGCATGTCCCAGAAACAAGGGTTTCTCAGGCTTCCCAGGAGTGTGGAGCCGTCTTTGTCCCCCACCCCCAATAAACTTGCACTGCACTCTTCAAAGGAAGGAAACAAGTCATTCTCCAGAGCCGGCACCTCAGAGCTAAGTTACTGCAGCAGTCACAATGCAGGCCTACCCGGAAGGGATAGTAGTGAGCACTTCAGAGCTAAGTTACTGCGGCAGTCACTGTGCAGGCCCACCTGGAAGGGATAGTAGTGAGCACTTCAGAGCTAAGTCACTGTGCGGGCCCACCTGGAAGGGATTGTGGTCTCAGTTCCAGACCAGCAAAGTAAGGAGATACCATGCTAACGCCAGACATACAAAGGTTTTGGTTTCCCAGCGTGTATACAAGTTATGTTTACACTATAGTCTAAGTGTGCAATAGCATTAGGTCTAAAAACAGCATCATACCTTAATTTTAAAATAGTGATTAAAAAATGCTAATGTTGATGGCTGCTGACCGATCACGGTAGTGGTTGGGGTGGCTGTGGCAACTTCTTAAAATGAGACCACAGTGAAGTTTTCCACGTTGACTCTTCCTTTAAGAACAATTACTCCAGCAGGCAATACTGTTTGACAGCATTTTACCCACCATAGAACTTCTTTCAGAATTGGAGTCGATCCTGTCACACCCTTCTGTTTATCAACTAAGTTTATGGAATACTCTAAATCCTTTGTTGTCATTTCAGCGGTGTTCACAGTATCATCTTTTTTTTTTTTTTTTTTTTTTTTGAGATGGAGTCTTGCTCTGTCACGCAGGCTGGAATACAGTGGTGCAATCTCAGCTTACTGCAACCTCCACCTCCTGGGTTCAAGCGATTCTGCTGCCTCAGCCTCCTGAGCAGCTGGGATTACAGGCACACGCCACCACGCCCAGCTAATTTTTGTGTTTTTAGTAGAGACGAGTTTCACTATGTTGGCCAAGCCGGTCTTAAACTCCTGACCTCAGGTGATCCACCTGCCCTGGCCTCCGAACAGATTCCATCTTAATCAACCATGTTCTTTGCTCATTCATAAGAAGCAATTCCTCATCCATTCAAGTTTTATCCTGGGATTGCAGCAGTTCAGTTACATCTTCAGGCTCCACTTCTAATCCGAGTTCTCTTGCTGTTTCCCCCACATCTGCAGTTCCTTCCTCTATGGGAGGCTTGAACCCCTCAATGTCATCCATGAGGGTTGGAATCAACCTCTTCCAAACTCCCCTTCATGTTGATATTTTGGCCTCCTCTCATGAATCTTACATGTTCATAGTAGCATCTAGAATGGTGAATCCTTTCCAGAGCTGTACAGTGTGCTCTGCCCAGATCCATCAGCGGAATCACTCTCTGTGGCAGCTGTAGTCTTACAAAATGTATTTCTTAAATAATAAGACTTGAAAGTCAAAAGTACTCTCGAGCCTTAGGTGGCAGAATGGACGTTGTGTTACCATACATGGAAACAACATTTATCTGCTTGTACACTTCGTCAGAGCTCTTGGGTGCCCACAGGTATTGTTGACGAGCAGTAATATTTTGAAAGGAATCTTTTTTTCTGAGTAGTGGGTCTCAACAGTGGGCTTAAAATATCAAGTAAACCATGCTGTGAACAGATGTGCTGTAAACAGACGTGCTGTCATCCAGGCTTTCCTGTTCTGTCTATAGAGCAAGGCCGAGTAGACTGAGCATGATTCTCAGGGGCCCGGGATGTTCAGAATGGTCCGTAAGCATCAGCATATAAGAATAAATAAAGATATTTATCCTCGAGGCCAGGATAAAACTGTAGTGATCGCCAGGTTGCGGGTGTTGCAGCGAAGGAAGGTGCCTGGCTAGGTTCTAAGAAGCACGGCCTTTGTTAACCAGCACCGCTTCGCACTCCAGTGAAAGTGAATTAGGACATTGTTTTGAAACTACCCCTGGGCCACTTGGTTTATTAGACTCCTTGAATGTCTTTTGGTTAGAATGACAGGGCTAGGGGAGGGCCAGGCACAGCCTAGATTTGCTTCGTTGTGTGAGGTGGTCTGTTCAGAAGACGTTTTCCTTTGTGAGGATGCATCTTTTGCACATTTCAAAGATGTCGACTGATGTGGGGAAGAAACAGGAGGTGCCTGCCGGGAGGCTGGATGACAGCACAGGGAGCCTGGCTGCTTTCCTTGGGTCTGAAAACGCCTGGCTGCTTTCGAAGGCATGCCTGTTTCACCTTCTTTCCGGGAAGTTGCTTTTTGCTCTCATTTTAATCAAAACCGTCCTTCTCCCCACCTACCGAATCGCTTGTCTTCTGGAAAAGTCGTGAATTATGGTACTTTAATATGAATGCGTATGTGTTAGTATTTAATAAGCACAACACAAAACTTAGAGACAGTCTGCTTGACATTTATATTACTTTTTGCTTTTGAATGATAAAAATAAAGTTTGTTCATCTCTATAACAGGAGAAAAATGCATTTGCCTTGACTACTGTGAATATATGAATACAAACATATTTTAGTTAATATAAATTCAATTCTGTTTTTATTCATTTATCCACTATTGTCAAAATATGTGGTTGGGAAATCATTATTAATAATATTAATATTGAGATAAATGGTCATGTGAAGCTAAGACTTCAGTGATTACTGTTGCCTGTCTCCCAACCCTCAGTCAATAAATGACATGCTTCATCACTTATCAAGTTATTTGTCACTTTGTTTCATCACAGTTTGGGACAAAAATGTGTCTGGAGAAGTTTAGAGAAAAGGGCCGGGCACGGCGGCTCATGCCTGTAATCCCAGCACTTTTGGAGGCCAAGGCAGGTGGATCATCTGAGGTCAGGAGTTCAAGACCACCCTGGCCAACATGGCGAAACCCCATCTCTACTAAAAACACAAAAGTTAGCCAGGCATGGTGGTAGGCACCTGTAGTCCCAGCTACTCAGGAGGCTGAGGCAGGAGAATGGCTTGAACCCAAGAGGCAGAGGTTGCAGAGAGCCGAGATTGTGCCACTGCACTCCAGCCTGGGCAACGGAGTGAGACTCTGTCTCAAAAAGAAAAAAAAATAGTTTAGGGAAAAGTAATCAGAAAAATATAGAAATAGGATGTTTCCATAAAAGAGAGATGGAAGTGAGCTGGGAATTAGAATAAAAAAAATGAAATCAATCAAATAGAAATCGGAAAAGGAGGAGGGAGTAAACAGAATAAAGCCATGAACAGTGAAAAGCACAGTCTCTGACGCAGGTCCAGAAAATAATAGAGCAGCAAAATTCAAAGCATTACTGGGGTGGCAACGCTTATAACAAACGGATATCATAAAAGGCGAAGTGCATCGCTGGGTCCAAAGAAGATCTTTCAATAATAATACTAGTGACAAAAAGCCAGGAAGACATCATCTGTGAACCCCTAACAACATAGTCTGAAAATGTGTGAAATATAAATGGACAGAATTGCAAGGAGAAATCCAGAATTACCGTAGGAGATTTCACCTCTCTCCAAAGCAGACGGGGTAAGCAGACCACACACTGCTTGGGATATACATTAAACACAGTAACTTTCTTCCACTAAGGGGCATACATAGAGTGCTGAGCCCCGCAACTTTAGGATCCATATCCTTCCCAAGTACACATGGAACACTTTCCAAGGTTAACCAAAATCTGATAAAATTCTTGCCCATTTGAAAACATTTATCCCAAGGATATATGATTAGAGAATATTGGAGAGCCCGCACTCTTCTTCTTCTCCTCCTCCTCCGTTTTTGTTTGTTTTTTGTTTGCTTGTTTTTTAAGACAGGGTCTCACTCTATCACCCAGGCTGGAGTCCAGTGGTACAATCATGGCTCACTGCAGCCTTGACCTCCTGAACTCAAGCGATCCCCCCGCCGCAGCTTCCAGACTAGCTGGGACTACAGGTATGCACCGCTACACCTGGCTAATTCTTTTATTTTAAAAAGTTTTTGTAGAGACTGGGTTTCACTATGTTTCCCAGGCTGGTCTGGAACTCCTGGGCTCAAGCGATCTTCCTGCCTCAGCCTCCCAAAGCACTGGGATTACAGGTGTGTGCCACCATGCCCGGCCTACATTCTTCTTAAATGTACATGTAGCTTACCAGGATCGACCATTGTCCATAAAGTGTCAACAAATACCAAAGAATTTGTATCTAAAGGCCACAGTGCAATAAAACTAGAAATCAACAACAACAAGAAACCCTTACATTTGGAAAATGTTTTAACCCATTTATGGCTAATGTTCCATTATTGGAACACTAAGCTTGTGGGAATTTTTTATATCCTGCTGCTGAAGGTCATCGCCAAGGTCTGATTTTTCACACACACAAAAATTTGCAACCTCCGGCATAAATGGGTTAATGTATTGCTAAATAAAAGGATGACAAAACCACCAAGGAAATTGTCAGAATATTTAGAGCCAAAGAACAGATGTGTCCAGTTACAATGTGGAGGAACATGAAGACTTTACCACCAAACAATGAGAAACCTAGAGAAGCCCACACCATTGCGTCTTCCTTCAGAGCCACCCACGAGGCATGGATGTGGAAAGCACCTGAAAGGACCAAACTGTAGAGACAGTGCCTTCCTAAATGAGTAAATAACAGAAGCCGCTTTCATGCCTGTGGCCAGTCACTGAGGCTGGAGGAGGATGGAGAGGGGAGCAAGCCTACCAGAGAAGGACCTTCTTTGCTGAGACAAGGAGAAATCAGCAAGATTTAGGAAACCTCTGAGCTGACAGATTAGCATCTGGAGGAGCCTTGAATGCAGAATAATCTTCTCTGCCAAGTAATTCTCTTAGAGGGAATTTTGCTGAGGAAGTGGAAATTGAAGGGTGGGACTAGAAAGCAAAAAGAAATCTCAGAGTCT